AGTCGTTTCTCTAAACACCTCCCATAAGCATATACCCGCCAGTGAATTTGAAACAAGTGTAAGATCAATAGCTGCTTCTGTTCCTGTTCTTACATTAATCCTTGTTCCCCTTCCATCATTTAAACATACTAAATCCTTAATCTCCATTAATTCTTCAATCACTATTCCATTCCCATCATTACAATTGTCCCATTACGTGCTATGAGCATTAAAATCTCCGCAACATATGATTTTCCCTTCTAAATATACAATCAATTCATCCAATACCTCTAGTGATAGTCTTTAACATGGATTATAAAAATGTATAATTTTAACATTTCCTTTTTTTTCCCCAAAACTTCTATTATTATAAATTCCAACTCCTTTCCTTTCCCTAAAACCTTATATTGTATTCCTTGTTTTACAAATATTATACACCCTCCACCAATATCTTCCTCTCTATCCCTGCGTATACTATCACAGCCTTTAATACAACTATCACGCGACTAGAGAGGAACGATTGCTAAGCTAATTTTGCATTTTATTAACTCCTGTAATGTCTGACCCCAAAGAAACTTTGACTTCTCTCAAAAATTTTTAAACCTGGAATCTTTCTGACTTTTGCTAAATGTATTAGACACATTCATAAACAGTGTTGGGGTAACGCATTACAAGTAACGCTAGTTGCGTAACGTTAATAACGAGTTACTTTTTCAGTTACTTTGTTTTCCCATTTATTGATTGACAGCTGCAGAGGCGTAGTGTGCGCTGTGTGAACATGATGTTACTGTGGTTTTATTTCCACAAAATTAATAAAAACTCAGAAAATGACATCTTATTTTATGAACCTATGTCTTTGCTGTTGATCTTCGGTGATTCAATTCAACCATACTAATAAACAAAAATGACTTTAGATAAACTTAACTTTTGTGTTTCTTTTTTTTTATTTTTTATTGCTTAACAGTGTTGAACTTTCTTCTCCTGCATCATATTCTTCATGCAATCCAGAATGGCAGCACAATTGAAAGGTTTGTTTGAGCTGCGTCCTCTTCTGTACAGATGTGAATGAACATTT